GCTCCATTGCCCCTTGGCTCACCTGGAGCTCCTCAGACGCCAAGAGGAGGGCTGATATCCCAGGGAAGAAGGGGGATAAGAGGACACACTAGAAGGGTACAGCGGGTGTCCCGGGCTTTGACCTGGTTGGTACCCTGAGAAATGGTGGGTGGGACTGCATAATGTGGGTTCAGGGTGGGATACCCGACTGGAAAGTTGAGGTTCCTGGGTGGAGGCATCTGCTGCTGTAACCATGCTGGGGCATCCTGTGGGTCGGAGGCTGTGAGATGGGGTATCCCGACTGGTTGTAGAGGGGTCGCTATGGTGGGGGGGTCTGTGGGCGGGCCTGGTGGTCGTACTGAGGAGGCATCGATGCTGATGTGGGAGGGTACTGAGGGTGAGGGTACGGCTCCTGTGGCCTCGGTGAGGGTGGAGGAGGGATAGTGGGGGCTGGGAGAGCGTGAGGTGATCCTGGGGTGCATGGTGTGGGTTTGTTGGAGGGGCAGGAGGTAGACGTAAGGTGGTAACATGGGCATCGAGTAAGCCTGAAGGGGGGGGGGAGAGTCAGTTCCTGTGCACATCTGCCTTAATTTAAAAGCTTTAATAAGATTTTAAACTTTTACTCTGCGCTGTAATTACTTCTTTTTTTTAACTCTTTTAATTTCTTGACTTTTAGTTTTTTATGTAAATTAATTTCATTTGAATTATTTGAATTATTTTCATTTGAAATACTTTTTCAGGAGATTTCTGATATGTGTGAAAAGGGTTAAAGTCTGAGTAAACATCTTGTCCTTTGTCTTACCTTGAGACCCAAGTTGAAGAAAAACCTCAAGATGTTGACATCTGCAGAGGACGACACACGAGACAGAATTTTAGTTCAATAACTTTCCAATAATAAAATACTTTCTGATTCACTCTTGTTTTATTTTGTCGGTCCGGCTCACCTTGCGGCAGGTCGTCCCCGATCTGCTGCAGGACATGAGGGGGGGCTGAGCAGGCTGGCCTTTCTCCCCTGAGGAAACCCGGGGTACAGGGGGTCCTGGTAGAGCTGGGACATCTGCTGCAGGGGGACGGCCCCTTGGATGGACGTCAGGTGAGGCGGGTGAGCGAGGTGTGACTGGGGGGGTGAGGGGGGTGTGACTGCTGAGGTGGGGGGGAGACTCTGGTAAAAGCTGAGCGGGAGGAGGAGGAGGAGGGGGGGCAGCTTCTGTTTGAGTCTGGGGTTGTATGGGGGGTGAGACGGGGAGGAAGAGAGAGAGAGGGAGGGGTGAGTAAGCTGTAAATGAGGGGGAGGGTGGGAGACCAGATCTGAGGCCTGGGAGGGGAGGGGGTCCGGCTGGGATTGGGGGAGGTACTGGGTCTGCTGGAGGGGGTCTGGGGTACCTGGGTGACTTCAGGTTGGGACTGAGGCGGGTGCTGGAGGTGGGAGGGACAGGAATGGGTCATCAGGGTCTGGTTTTGGGGCCGAGGGACCTGAGATGGACTCTGGTTCTGGGGGGTCTGGGCTCCTCCAGGGTTTGATACAGAACCTGAAGACAGAGACGAGACGATCAGAGAGACATCAGACCTGGTTCAGATCAAAAACACAGAAGTTGAGATTTCTTACTCGGAGTCGCCTCGTCGACTTGAGCGGCCTGACGGATGAGAGAGGAAGAGGAGGAGGAGGAGGAGAGCGGGGGAGGACTGGGGGAGTGAGGGGGAGCGGTGAGGGGGGGGAGGAGCGGGTGAGAGAGGAGGGATGGAGGAAGCTCTGAGCGGCGGCGGGAGAGGGAGCGATGGGTGCGATAAAAGTGGGAGGAGGCAGAGAAGAAGACGGAGGAGGAGAGGGGGAGGAGTTAGGGGGTTGAGAGGAGGGGAGGAGTTAGGGGGCTGAGAGGAGGGGAGGAGTTAGGGGGCTGAGAGGAGGGGGAGGAGTTAGGGGGCTGAGGGAGGGGGAGGAAGCAGGGGGGAGGACGGGGGTGATGAAGGAGAAGAGAGAGGCGGAGGAGGGGACAGCAGGAGGAGGAAGAGGAGGAGAAGTGGATGAGGAGGAGGAGGGAGCGTCTGGAGGTGCAGGAGCCGCGGTGGGCGGGTTCGTTTTCGGCGCTGAAGCTTTGTGCGAGCTCAGGGAGGCGGGGGCGGAGTCTGCAGACGGAGCAGCAGGAGCAGCAGGAGCAGCAGGAGGACGTTTAGTGGCGATGGGGTTGGTGGGTGTATTTGCAGTATTAGTAGAAGAAGAAGCAGGAGTAGTGAGAGGCGGGGTGGAGGACTTCGGTCTCTCTCCAGCAGAGGGCGACGGAGCTCCGACGTCTTCAACTGGACTCTTCTGTAAAAACAAACAGAGTCCGATCAGAAGTTCTTTTTTTTATTAGGTGCAATAGAGTGACAAACTGGTGACATATACAGAACAAATGAGGCACAAAAAAACAGACAAGGTCAGGACAACAACTCCAAAATAAAGTAAAAGAAAATAAAAATAAAAAAAATCTAAAAATAAAAATACATTAAAATATTACAAAACTATGAAAGAAAGGATACAAGAAGTGAAAGAAGCGATAGAGAGAAAGAGAGAAGGGGAGATGTTCTTAAATCTACAAAAAGTCCTTTATTTTCTTTCACAATTAAAGCAGGAAGTTAAGAAATCTCAGATTAAGAAAGTCCAAAACTTCAAAATAAAAGCCTGAGAAAAACTGTTTTGAAATGCAAAATAATAGAATTTCAGAGAAGCGATCAACTGAGATTAATTTTAGAAATGATGAATTGTTTTGCATTTCTTTCTTCACCTCTTCCAGCGCTGATGGGACAGATTGATTTGGTTCTGAGAGACTGACTCATGACGCTGAAGTGCGACATTTAGCATCACCAATATTATTATTTTTTTAAATCAATAAATTCAAACAAACTTACCGTTTTGTTCCTCTGAGATTTCTTCTTCTCTCCTCCTTTCTTCCTCCCTCCGTCCCCCTGACTCGAGCCCTGAAAACGACGGTGACAAATAAACACACGCTCACGTTACGATCAGGACGAGACCTTTCCCAACTCTCAACTCGTTCTCACAATGAGAGCATCACTGACCCCGAGAGCGGGGAAGCTCTGCTCGTCTCTCAGCTGGATCTCCACCAACGCCACGTTCATCTTCTCCTCCTCTTTGGCCAAACGCTGCTCCTCCGTCAGACCGAACGCCGACTCCACCACGCTCACGGACTTCCTGTTCAAAAAAAGAGACGTAAAGAAATGAATGTACTCTTTAAACTTTCTTAATCGTCTCTTTTGAGGAGGAGAGAGAAATGAGGATTTGAACCTGGTGGATTTGGTGGCGCCCTGCTCCTCTACGGTGGCCTGCGGGGGCCACGAGTGCTGCTTCTGCACGCGCCCAGAGGGGCCCGGCGCCGGGGCCGGGACAGAGGAGGACGCGGGGACGTTCTTCCCCCGTCCTCTCCCCTTACTCCTCTCCTCCCAATCTGAGAGACGGAGACACATGAGACAGGAGCTGGGGATCGAACCCCCAACCTTCCGGCTGAGAGCCGCCCACTGAGCCACAGCCACTCCATAACTCTGTGTGTGTGTGTGTGTGTGTGTGTGTGTGTACCTCCTTGTCCGTTGCTGAGTCTCTTGTCTCGGTTCACCACAGTGCTCCAGCTGTTCTCATCAGAGGGAGGACGCAGACTCCACAGAGGAACCTGTCTACACACACACACACACACACACACACACACACACACACACACACACACACACACCATTTGTTTTAATTGTTATATTTCAAGAGGTGTGTGTGTGTTTCTGTGTGTGTGTCTGTGTGTGTGTGTGAATGAGAGAGTGTGTGTGTGTGTGTGTGTGTGTGTGTGTTCTGTGTGTGTGTGTGTGTGTGTGTTTCTGTGTGTGTGTGTGTGTGTGTGTGTGTGTGTGTGTCTGTGTGTGTCTGTGTGTGTGTGTGTGTGTGTGTGTGTGTTCTGTGTGTGTGTGTGTGTGTGTGTGTGTTTCTGTGTGTGTGTGTGTGTGTGTGTGTGTGTGTGTGTGTGTGTGTTTCTCTGTGTGTGTGTGTGTGAGATTGTGTTTCTGTGTGTGTGTGTGTGTGTGTGTGTGTGTTTCTCTGTGTGTGTGTGTGTGAGAGTGTGTTTCTGTGTGTGTGTGTGTGTGTGTGTGTGTGTGTGTGAGAGTGTGTTTCTGTGTGTGTGTGTGTGTGTGTGTGTGTGTGTGTGTGTGTGTCTTACTTCTTGCCCAGTTCCTCGATAAAAACTGTCACTGAGCCGTTGTCAGCGGGAACCTCCTTGACAGTCGCATTGTAGCTCCGCCCACTCCCCTCAAGACGGACCTACACACACACACACATCATGTAAATACTGTACTCAAGTTAACAGAGTTTCACAGAGGACCCTGAACACATCACACACACCTGGCAGCGGTCTCCTGCAGTAAACTGCATCCCTGCAGCGATACAATAATCCAACTTCTGCTGAGCTGAAAGAAACACAAACAAAAGTCTGTGAGGTCACGTTGAGTGACGGCGTTCAGGAAGCACGGCACAGTGGGAGCTCCACACATACAGCGCTCCCCCAGCTGGCTCAGCTGATCCCGTCTCGCCTCTGGGGAGGGGGGGGGGGGGGGGGGGGGGGGGGCGTGAATATGGCGTCTTGTGAACGGGCTGTTGAGTCTCCTCACCTCTCTTCGTTTTGTGCCAGACGTCGTACTCAATGTTCCTGAACAGAGTCGGGTTCAGTGAACGCCTCACCCTCTCAGACAGGACCCGGCCCCGCCCCCGACCCTAAAACACACACACACACACACACACACACACACACACACACACACACACACACACACACACACACACACACACACACACACACACACACCACACACCACACACACACACACACACACACACACACACACACACACACACACACACACACACAGAAAAATAAACACAAATTCACAAATGTATCATTTTAAACACTCTTTCAGTGTGTGTGTGTGTGTGTGTGTCTGTTTCTGTGTGTGTGTGTGTGTGTGTGTGTGTGTCTGTCTGTGTGTGTGTGTGTGTGTCTGTTTCTGTGTGTGTGTGTGTGTGTGTGTCTGTTTCTGTGTGTGTGTGTGTCTGTTTCTGTGTGTGTGTGTGTGTGTGTGCGCGTGTGTGTGTGTGTGTGTGTGTCTGTTTCTGTGTGTGTTGTTTCTGTGTGTGTCTGTGTGTGTGTGTGTGTGTGTGTGTGTCTGTCTGTGTGTGTGTCTGTCTGTGTTGTTTCTGTGTGTGTGTGTGTGTGTGTGTGTGTGTCTGTCTGTGTGTTTCTGTGTGTGTGTGTGTGTGTGTGTGTGTGTGTGTGTTTCTGTGTGTTTCTGTGTGTGTGTGTGTTTCTGTGAGTGTGTGTGTGTGTGGTGTGTGTGTGTGTTCTGTGAGTGTGTGTGTGTGTGTGTGTGTGTGTGTTCTGTGTGTGTGTGTGTGTGTTTCTGTGAGTGTGTGTGTGTGTTTCTGTGTGTGTGTGTTTCTGTGTGTGTGTGTTTCTGTGTGTGTGTGTGTGTGTTCTGTGTGTGTGTGTGTGTGTTTGTGTGTGTGTGTTTGTGTGTGTGTGTGTGTGTTTCTGTGTGTGTGTGTGTTTCTGTGTGTGTGTGTTGTGTGTTCTGTGTGTGTGTGTTTCTGTGTGTGTGTGTTTCTGTGTGTGTGTGTTTTTGTGAGTGTGTGTTTCTGTGTGTGTGTGTGTGTGTGTGTGTGTGTGTGTGTGTTTTCTGTGTGTGTGTGTGTGTGTGTGTGTGTGTGTGTGTGTGTGTGTGTGTGTGTGTGTGTGTGTGTGTGTGTGTGTGTGTGTGTGTGTGTGTGTGTGTGTGTGTGTGTGTGTGTGTGTGTGTGTTACCCTGTTGTTGTGTCTTGGGGCCGTCGTGTTCGTCGTGTTTGTTCCATTTTCGATCCTGAATCATAAAACACAAACACGTTGACTTCTTCTGATTCTTTGAGTGACTCATTCTCAACATGAACTCTGTGATGTCATCGTGTTTAGAAACCACATGAAGCTTTGTTTTTCTAACCACAGCGGGTCGCCGTTGTCCGACTCGTCGCTGCTGCCGCAGGCGGCCATGTTGTCGTCGATGAGGAGGTCGTGAGGTCTCCCGACCCGCTGACACACGCTCAGAGCACCGCGCTCGACTTTGAACACATCGTCGTAGAGCAGCTCGTACAGGATGGCTGAGACACACACACACACACACACACACACACACACAGTTATTATCTCGACCAGGTGCTGACAGGAAGTGAGCAGAGGTGCTGACAGGAAGTGACCAGAGGCAGAGCAACAACATGGACAGCTGTTGTAATCATCATCAGAATCACTCACACTGGCAGAGAGCGGCGTTCTTGACGTGGCTGACGGGATAAACGCTGTCGTAGTGATTCCCGTTCAGGAAACACAACCGCACCTGAGACACAAAAACAAACGTCGTGAGAGCGAGTCGACGATGACGACATCAAGGTTCAAATAAAAACACCAAGAAGAAGAATGTAGAAACTCTGCGTGGTGCGTTCAGGGTCACCTTCTTTGAAGTTGTGGTCTGTGATGTTGACGGCTGGTTTACCGGGATCCTGGAAGATCTGAAAATCCCTCCTACACACACACACACAGACAGACACAGAACACACAGAACCACACACACACACACAGAAACACACACACACACACACACACACAGAAACACACACACACACACTTTAAACAACAACCAGTTCAAATTTCAGATCCACTTCACATTCTTTGAGGTGTGTTCTAACTTACTGGTACATGATGGCGAGAGCGTGGATCTCCACCTCGCCAACCCACTGCTGAAACACAGACAGAGAGGAACATGAACATCACACATCATCACACAGATCAGACATCAGACCGTCTTTAAGACCCTGAGGGATACCTGCGGGTCCTGAAGCTTGCACAGGTAATCACGAAGTCGCCTTCAATAAACTGAAACACAAAACACACAGACAGCACACGTTGAAGAGTCTGACAGGTTGTGTTTGAAGTCCTGAAACAGTCGGTGTGTGACGCCGACAAACGTTTAGAGACACACAACACTGACTGGACTCTTCTCCTCTGTCGCCCCCCGGTGGTGGAATGAACTAACAAACTCCATTAGATCTGCAGAGTCCCTCTGCACCTTTAAGAAAAAGCTAAAGAGCCAGCTCTTTCATGAATACCTACTAACTTAATGATGATGGTCTCCATATTATTGATGATGATGATGGTAATGACGATGGTTTTTGTTTGATAACGACGACTTATAAGATGGTTTCTATACTGATTAGAGCTCTCAAGAACTGCCCTCAATGTTGTGCTTTGCCTCTGGTCACTTCCTGTCAGCACCTGTGTGTCCAATCAGACTCAAAGCTGATCGTTTGCTCTTACTCACATTGTTCCCTTTTTTCTAGATCCTTGCTTGTGTTGTTCTTACTCTCTGATGTACGTCGCTTTGGATAAAAGAGTCTGCTGAGTGAATTGTAGAATTTGAGATGAAAATAAACAGGTTCCATGAGAGTCACATTTACACCTAACTGCATTCTGGGATATGTAGGAGGACGGCCCAGCTGTAAAGCGAGGAGCGGCTTGATTATTTATATAACACTTTCACTTTCAGTTCTTGTTGTTCAACCTCAGAAAGGAAACCACAAAAAAAGCTCCTGAGTGACACACGGCTCGGGTACAATCACTTCTACCTGAACCACTTCTCTTGACCGCTTCCATCACTGCAACACCTGTTGACCTGATAACTGCTCTCATATCTGACAAACAGAGGGGCGTCCAAAACGGCCGTGTGGGGGGGGTCACCTTAAAACCGCCTACCTTCTCTGGTCCAAACAAATCCAGAGCATTCAGGAGCAGAATGTAAAGTTAGAAGGAGGACATACTGGCTGCTACATTGTTCATGACTGTTAGACTTTATGACGTCACTCAGACGTTTAGAGGTGTGGCCTGTTTGTTTTGTACTTACAGCCTCATAGCTCGATCTGTTCTGCTTCAGGAACTCAACACATTTGGCTCTGACTTTAGCGTGAAGGCTTTGACAGTGCAGCACCTAAACAACAACAACAACAACAACAACAACAACAACAACAACATGAAGCTATTAAAACATAACATCTGTGTGACGTGTTGATGAAACTTAAACTCCATGTTTTCTCTTTAAGACGCAGAATCCGCTCTGAAAAGTTTATAATTTAACAGTTTCACAGTTTAAAGTTTATAAAAATGAGGAATAAAGTTTGAAACTACTTTCTGAGAACTTGTTAGTGGAGTTAACTTTAATTCGGCTCTCATGAAACACACCTAGCTCAGCTGTTTAGCTCTGTTAGCTCACAGTTTGAACAGGTGTGTTTTAACTTCACCTGCTCGGCGACAGCTCGGAACAAGCACGAGCCGTCTTTGGCGATCTTCTTCCGGTGAAAGCCGATTGATTTCAGGTAGTCGTCCATTTGTTTCTCGGCCCCCCTCTCCTCGTTGGTCGTCACGCCGTCCATGCTAGCGACGGGAGCTAGCCGCTGGAGCTAGCCGCTGGAGCTAGCGGCTGGAGCTAGCGGCTGGAGCTAGCGGCTGGAGCTAGCAGGTAAACTGCGTGTTTGCCGGTTGAATGTGTCACTCTCCTCCTCCTCCAAGTTTTCAATATCGACGCAGAAACGTCTGAAATGTTGACGCCGATGATCAAACGACAGTCCAACACAACAATGGCGGCTTCTAGTTTCGTTTTCCAGGAAGCCTTGTTGACTGTCAGAAAGTGAAAGTACAACTTTAGCTACCAGTTAGCACACAGGCTAACATGTACACGCCCCCTTCTTCTTCTTCTTCTTCTTGTTTAATGGCTGCTGGCTGCAGTTTGCTTTTAAGGTGCAACACCGCCATCTGCTGTGCTGGAGTGTGAGTCAGGATACTCAGTAGTGAAGTGGTGCCTGAATAAGACGGTAAACTTTTAATTTCCCCCTAAAATGTTTATTTAAAGTGAGAGGATAATCAGCGTAGTCCTGGAGTGATATGTTTTTATTTTTATTTTATTTTATTTTATTTTATTTTATTTTATTTTATTTTATTTTATTTTATTATTTTTTTATTTTATATATATATATATATATTTTTTTTATTAGCACATAAAAGAATACATCAAAAAGGATTAACAAAAACATAAAAGGTGTGTCAGGAGAGGTCAAGAAGCCAACAGGCCTCACCTCTTAAGAGACAAATAAATATAAAATATAAACACATATACAGTAACCTACACGTATTCACACTCACACTTAGACACATACATACAATAGAATAGAATAGAATAGATTGTCTTTATTGTCATTATACAATTGTACAACGAAATTATTTGGCTTCACCTTAAAGTGCACACACATACAAGCATCCACAGCTAAAAACAACAAAATAAATAAAAAAGGAACTCTCATTCAGGTAAGATGGGCAATGTATGGTAGGAGTTATTTACAGGTAGTAGCATAACAGAATATAAATAGATATTGCAGAAATATTAAATAAATATTGCACAGTATGAAATATCAAATATTGCAGAAATATAAAATAAATATTGCACAGTATGAAATATTAAATATTGCAGAAATATAAAATAAATATTGCACAGTATGAAATGTAAAATATTGCAGAAATATAAAATAAATATTGCACAGTATGAAATATTAAATATTGCAGAAATATTAAATAAATATTGCACTGTATGAAATGTAAAATATTGCAGAAATATAAAATAAATATTGCACTGTATGAAATATCAAATATTGCAGAAATATAAAATAAATATTGCACAGTATGAAATGTAAAATATTGCAGAAATATAAAATAAAATAAATATTGCAAAGTATGAAATGTAAAATATTGCAGAAATATAAAATAAATATTGCACAGTATATAATAATACAATATAATACAATAGAAAGACTGAGAATGTTAACCCTCTATCAGCTCAATGAAACAGGCATTCATCTATTAAAAAGGGAGTGAAATCAGTGAGTTGATGGGAAAAAAAGAAGAAAGAAAATAAATATATTTTATATATGCAAAAGTTTGACCTCATGGATTAAATGTGAAGACAGTTCCCTTTTAAAAATCTCTGTTGGCAAAGAAGAATAATTCCATATTTGTACCCCACGATATCTGATGAAAACTGACCGTGTTTGGTTTTATTTTCTTATTATTTTTAGGATAATATTAATTAATATTAATTAATAAAGCATATCCAGCCAATAAGAGACAGAGTAGGGCGGGTTATCCCTTCGCCATCATAAGGGGAACAAATGCAGCATATTACTGAATATTGTGAATCTGGGGATTTAGAATACCTGCACTACACATCAGCTCTCTCCAATGTTTGATTTTGGACTGCTGCAGTGCCCATTTTAAACACTAGATGTCAGAGTTTCTTATTGCTCCTTTAATTCATGCTTCAGTTCAGGTTAAATGTGGCTCAACAAGTTGGATTAAATTTATAGACAAATAATTACACAACATGTAGGCTAAAGGAAACCAGAACCAACACTCACTGCCATTTTCTGACTGGTCTTTTGTTTATTTGTGTTTTTAGTTTTCGCAGGTAAACCCACACTCTGAAGTTCTGCTGTTGGTTTAAAACACTTAAAACACCATCCATGACTTCAACATGTTATAAACAGGCTAACTAGTTTTAACTCTTCCTTTGGTCCTTCTTTCCTTTTCTGCATCCATCAGGCTCAGCTGCACTCCTCCTCCTCTCATCCCTCCCTCCTCCGGCTCTCTGTGGTCTCTCCGTCTCTTCCTGTCCCTCGCAGCAGTATTGATTTTCAGTCCTGCAGAGTGCTAAGACAGAGGCACACACACACACAGATCGGATGTTGGCTAACACTGTTAGCATGTGTGTGTTTACTGATCTGGACTGGCCCGATGAACATGCAATAGCTTCACCTGTAGGAGGCGCCACATGATCTGTAGCCTAACTGTTGAGCCCTTTGACTGTATATAAATATGGACACAAATCCTCCCCCTTTTTTTTTTTTTTTTTACAGAAGTGAAGCCAAAATACCTCTGCCAGTTTCTGATGACGTCATTTGCAGCAGAATTCATGTCCTGCCCTTTCCGCTAACCAGAATGGATTGACAGCTGACAAATGACTCCTCTGATTCCAGTCTTAATGCTAAGCTAGGCTAACTAGGCTAAGCTAGCTTAATTTCCCCTATTAAACCTAAAGGGATTTACTTTTCACACTCACAAATAAAGCAAATAACTATAATTTCCAAAAGGCAAAGAGGTCTTTTAGGCATGAATTTTTGTTTTTAATCATCGTCTTTAACTAACAAATAAAAAATTTAATATTAGAATATTAAATAAAAAAATAATAAAAACTTCCCCTTGAACTGAAACTGTTTCTAATGAAAATCATCAAATGTTACGATATGGCTGATCCCCACACGGAGGCCTTGACTTTTTTTTTTAACCTTTTTGACCAACAACAGAGCGGGAGTGATCACCTCGTCGTCCCTCACTCCTCCCTTCTCTCTCAAACTCCCTCATTCCCCCCCCTCCTCTTCAATCCTTTTTCCTGTAATACCATTTACCAAAATCTAATAATGACCTTTAGTGGCATGTTTTTATTCCCACTTCCCTTTCAGTTCGAGCCGCCTTGTGATTCGCCGAGGCCCCCTCGACGCTTCGGACCAATGGTCGGCCCTCCTACTCGCCGCCATGGAGACCTACAACATGCCAGGTAACCGTGGCAACTGTTGAGGAGGGGACAAGACCCATGGCGATTGACACTTATCCTCCCACTCATTTGGTGAGTGTGGTGCGTGACCTTCACCACTGATTTCTCTCTGAAGCGTCTCTTAAATTCTAATTATTTCTCCCTTTTTGGGTCTAAATCAGACAATTCAAACCATTTTCTTTAAATCTGTTGTATTAAATCGTTGTAGAGTTCTTGTGGGTGGTCCTGTTACTACACACGGAGTAACAGCTCTGCAGAAGTGCACAGGTTAAGATTTCTTTAGCACCCACACGTGTAACTTGATCTTCCTGCTCTCCTTCCTGCACGCAAGTAAAAACGAGATGAGTCAGATGAAATTAAACTTTATTGATCATTATAGCAGCAAACAGGAACAGGAAACAGCAGAGGGAGGAAGAAATAAAGCAAATGATAATCAGAGAGAGAGATGATGAGGAGCCTCGAACATGGGGAGCTTTTCTTTTTCTTGTTTCTTTTTTTGAGTTTTCATGGTTTAGAAATAACTTTAAAGACTAAAACGTGCAGGCAGACATCGGTTCTAGCACCATTGAATGGAGATACATTTCATATTTAAACAACAGGTGTGTGTGCAGGTTTTTGTTAGTACAGCAGCTCTGGTTTGTGGTAGTTAGTTACCTCTGCTGCACCGGAGATCAGCTAGTACGGTTTTATTTTTGTCATCTTAGAGGCAGGGCAGTGGATGGAGTCAGAAATCGGGGTCGGATTTGAACCCGGGTCGCTTGCTTGGAGGACTACAGGTTGGCGCAATCACCACTAGGCTACAGACTTGCATGAAATTTAAAACTCATAAAAAAGCGTCTCCTCCTTACTTTAACTCTCTCATCCAGGTTTACACTCCCCCCCCCCCCCCCACTACGCTCTGCCAATGAAAGGCGTCTGAGCCAACCTTCACAACAGGGTCCTAAGTCTCTGACTAGACTCTTCTCCTCTGTCGCCCCACCGGTGGTGGAATGAACTTCCAAACTCCTCTGCACCTTTAAGAAAAAGCTAAAGACCCAGCTTTTTATGAATACCTACTAACTTAATGATGATGGTCTCCATATTATTAATGATGATGATGATATTTAGGATGCTTTTGATGCTGGTTAGAACTCTCAAGAACAGCTGTCAATGTTGTCAGCACCTCTGGCCACTTCCTGTCAGCACCTGTGGGTACTTCCTGTCCAAACGTATACTTTCTTTATCCATCTTTATTGTAGTTCTAATATTGTTAATAATAATGTTGTAGTTTGTGTATAGTGTGTTGAACTTCAGCGGTAACAGTGGACATCAGAGGTTTACGGGGCGGTAAACATCGCCATGGTAACAGCAAGCTCCACCTTCAGAGACGTCCCTATGACACTTAAGGATTTTGGGTAGTGTAGTTCTTTTCCCCAAGATTGCAAATAAATCTTGTTTTTCTTAAAATGAGGTTGATGTCAGACCAACTTGTGTCTCCTACAGGAGCATAAACAACACCCAGGTCGCTCGTCTTCTGTCTACCTTGGATGGTTATGACATCATGGCGTATAATCAAATCCGCTATCCAGAAAATGAACGGGATTGTTATTCCTGACGCACTCTGTTGAGCTCTTTAAATAAATGAGCTATAGAGACCAAAACAGTTTTTGCACCGCGCTGTAAACAAAATAATTTCTACTGTAAAGTCGAAAAATGTAACATGGAGCTCAAAGGGGATTGACTCACTTTTGGAGCCAGCCTCAAGTGGCCACTTTAGGAACTGCAGTTTTTGGGACTTTTTTTGATGACTTGTTTTAGTCAACTTTTACATCTAACTTGTCTTCACTGACAAACAGGAAACAGGATAAAAAGGAATCATCATGTTATTAAACCTTTATTTGTTGTGTGCAAATGTTACTCTGGTTTAACAAGGCGGCTTGTCTTCACCCTCTTAGGGCGACTTCGGTTATTTAGCAAGAAACCAACTCACTCACCTTTAGAGAGGTTAGCTTGTTAGTGAGTTTGCTTGCCAAGGAATCTATTGTAGGCTGCTTATAATACATTTCTGTTCATAACACAGTTAAAATCAAGCAACACAGCA